TTTTAATCTATAATTATTTATACACCTTAAAGAGTGCAATCATTTCTCGAATTTTCCCCTTGCATCGGCCCGACATCTAAGTCTTCTACAATCAGTTGTCCTGCCAGAAGGCAAGTCTTTCAGGGAGAGATTATGAAAAAGAAATGTAGAAAACAAAATGGCAAAAGCAGAGAACCCAGCAACCCAGCTAGGCTCTCCAAGATGTTGCATTGCAGGTACCTCTTACCCGTCCTCTGGTCCCACATTAACCTATTCCCTCACGATATGATGTCTCCATTCTCTTTCTTCTCTATTGGCCGTATACAGTACAAGGGGTTAGTTTCCTGCCCGTCATTAATGGGCCATCTCCACTTTTCTTGCCCCTTCTGAGTAGGTCGGTAGCAAAGGCCCGTTTCCATATTATCAGATTTTGCAACCCCGGTCGTCACACTTTACATAGCATTATATGACGAGTGGGCATATCGCATAGCGACATAAAATTCACCCTAGTTGGTGGTATTTTGTGGGTTTAATGCCACTTTCTAACCTTATATGATTTTCAGAACTTTTAAATTGATCTGTCCTTTTTTCCTTTTCTTCAATTGTCTGATTTGATTATAAATTCCACTTTGTGATACTCCAAACCCTTCGCATTGATTTGGTTTTTACTTGAAGGTCATTGAACACAAACCTTATGATCAGAAAGCAGATGTCTTCAGTTTTGGAATAACTCTTTGGGAGCTTCTAACCGGGAGAAGTATGTCCTTTCCATTTTTCTCATCTCAAACAGCGGTCGTGGATTTTAGTTTTACTCTAATCATGTTGACTACTTTTTGACCAGCTGCCTTACTCTTACCTGACTCCATTACAAGCAGCAGTAGGCGTGGTGCAAAAGGTTTTCATTCTGTTCTCCTAATAGATCATCTTACAGAATCAGTTTTCTTATCTATGCATGATGATTCTGCGTTTATCATTGCAATTAGGGTCTAAGACCGACAATCCCCAGGAGCATACACCAAGACTTTCTGAACTTCTCCAACGTTGCTGGCAACAAGATCCAAAAGATAGACCAGAATTCTCCGAGATATAGAGATTCTTCAGCTGATAGTTAAAGAGGTAAAACACTACTCACAACCGTAAAAATAGCTGAACGAAGTCTAAAATTTTATATGATATGTTTCTCACAGGTTACTGGTGAAAAAGCCGATCGCCATAAATCATCCCACGGCTTTCTCTCAGCACTTAAATGGGGCCATCACTGATTTGGATCTATCACGACTGTATATCCTTGTATTCTCTTATGCTCTGGTTTATCCCTCTAAGGTGCCTTCTTGTTTAATTTCTAGTTAATTCGGGCCCTGCCCTCTTTTGTATCCAAAAAATAATAATAATAATTTTAACACACTATACAAATGAAAAGTTAATCGAATTATCATTTCCTTGCATTAGGGAGGTGGATGATGATAGATTTGGAAATGCACATTAGAAACATTGTTGTTCGTTCCATTTTTTGAATGATAGTTGCAATTTCTATTCCGAAAAACAAAGGTTAACCGAGTTGTTTTTGTATTTTCTGGTACAAATGAAAAGTTGTTTTAATTTCTTTTTCCAACAAATATTGGATATTAGGTTAACAATCACGAAGTTTTGGACTTGCAGGAGATGCATCTAGGAGGCGGCAAAGTCTTACTTCTCCCGTTTTTCCTTTTTTTTTTTTTTTTTTGCCAGCTGCGGCAAAGGCTACCTAAACAAGCCGAAGCCTATTTCCGAGTGTCGAAAACTGGTCTAACTCTTACATCTAGGTGGCCCAAACTAATTGTTTTAGCCCAAAAGAAATGGGCGAAAAGAATATGTGAAGCCCAATACCTTGGTCCAACATGAACGTTTGGGGGCTAGATCGTCAGCGGATGGGTTTTCCTTTTTCTTGGGGGAAAAAAATAGATAGCTCGGAAAAACAACCACGAAGAGGTTTTTTTTTTCGGTTTTTTTCCCCGGGGGTGTGGAAGGGCGGAGTGACGAGAAAAGGAAGGATTTCGTTTAAAAAACAAAAAAAAAATGGAAGAAGCAACAAGTGTTGGTCCCAGTGAAAGGACTTAAGCTCTTTAAACATATGTCTTGGATTTGATTCTTGGAGCGGTATATATGGAAAAACACTGTTGGGAAGGATTCCCACTACGACGCCTGATAGTACTCCGAGAGATTAATCTTTTACCGTTCGGATGAGAGAAACTCTGGGCAACCAAAAAAAAAAACAAATGGAAGACAATATTTATCATGGTCACGTCTACATGCCTTAGCAACGCGCGCGCGCACACAGAGTCAAGCCCAGCTGAAATGGATTTGAGGGTTCTACGCATCTCTAATTCCTATTGTCTCAGGCCTGGGTTTGGCACGTCTGATTCATTCTTGCCCCCCAATGTCTAAGACGAGGACGACCTCTACAACACATCAGAAGTACTATTTGGAACTGAAAATAATCAAGGCACTTTATTTATTATTATCAACAAAGATATACATTACCATAATGTTTTTCCTTCTTCGTTTACCATGATTTTTTTTCTTCTTCGTCGCGATTCCAGTATCAAAGTTGTTAATAACTTAAGGAAGTGTTTGAATCACAAATTCATGGAACTCCCAGCAAGAAACCTAATTCTATACAGTTTAAAAGTTGTAAGTCCCGCCTTGGCACTTCACTGTTCTGTTGGAAGTCCATTTTGAGTCCAAGCAGCGAATCCCCAGCTATGTCTGTAATTCCAGAAAATCCCTGCACAAAGGGAAAAAAATTCCAATCACCGAAAGTTACTCTGTAATTTTTAATCATCAGGATTGTAACTTGTAATTGGAATTGGTAATAAGTATGTATTAAATTCTGAACGATGCCCCTGTGCGAAAAACAAAATTTGATTCTGACATTCCACACAAATTCAACTACAACCAAACAATGAGGCTTGCCCAAATTGCAGGTTATGGTGTTGAAGAAGGAACTTACAGCAACTAACAAGTCAGTAGCAGCCATCATGGACCTTTTACCAAGTTGACAACCCTGTAAAAAAACAGTATCAACATCAGAAACAATCTTTCAAAACACGAATAGCATACAGAGTCCAAACGCAGCAAATGAAAATTTATAAACGCATCAAATGAAAATTTAAGAGATTGTACACTCACAACAATAATCTCATCATCTTTTCTAAAATGTGATGAGACTTCTGCAACAAAATTGGCATTCTTTGTCATACCTGCATAAATGCCATAAAATCCATATTAGGATAATTGAAGAATTAATATTCGGAGAAAACATTTTCCTGTGATGAGGAAACTCTGGTAAGGGACCATATTCTTCAATTAATATTCGGAGAAAACATTTTCCTGTGATGAGGAAACTCTGGTAAGGGACCATATTCTTCAATTAATATTCGGAGAAACATTTTCCTGTGATGAGGAAACTCTGGTAAGGTACCATATTCATCCTAAGGCTTAGAATTAAGGCAGGACACATTGTCAGGACTTGTATTTTTGCATCATTTACTAAGCGAAATGAGCTTATTCTACCTCACATGGAACGCAGGCAAGAAAAAGTATCCCACATTCCCTTACAACCAGATCACATATTTCGAATATTATCTAAAGAAATATTCAAACTAGAGAATCAGTTGGCAACAACAGCCAGTAATCAATGACCAATAAGCACAGTGACAGAGGAATCTAATTCTAGATAACTTGCTCTTGATATTATACTTATGCCGAAAGAAGAAAATAAACAAATAAACTAACTATGAATGGAGTGCGAGAACTTCGACATCGGGAATAATCTAAAACAGAGTGGCTACTGTCGCTACCGAACCTCCAAATTAATTTTTAGCATTTTTCACTTCAAAAAAGAGGTGTAGCACAGAATTTCTTCCGTGCCATGCATTCACTGTAATTGCTCTCTTAGAGAGAAATCAAGAGAACCTGATCCAACTCTGTACATGTATGGTACGTTAATTGCGCCTGGAGCGTGTCCTGCGTTGAATTCTTCGGGAGTTCTACAAGCAAGCAAGCAAGGAACGACGAGTGATTTCGAATTGAATCGGAACTCTCTGGAAACGTCAATTCCCCCAAAAAAAAAAAATTACTGAACCATGCGCTACGGATGAGTTTTATCTAACCTCACATCCAAATAGCGATGTCCAGCAAGAAGCAGCTCATGGGCTACACGCACTGGCACCGACGTCGGAACTCCGACGGTCTCCAAATTCCCGTTCAGAGCAGCTTTCGTGCTTGAGAATTCAAAGGAACACGAAAATAAAATTCAATCTAACAGAAAGAAAATGCAACAATTCAATTCGATTCCCGTTCAGTATACGCACCAGTAGTTTGGAAAGTTGGCTTTAACAACACTAACGCTCCGCGCCTGACGAGACTTCAACGGTTTCAGAAATGAAATTCTGCATGCAATTAATCACGAACATCAAGAAGAGAAACAGAAACAGAAACACGTAACGTAGAAATAATATCACAATTGAGTGAATTAAGTAACCTTGGAGCATGATCCAGCTTGGCGGAGCGGAGAGGAGGAGAGAGGAGGAAGCCGAGATACGAATCGACGTCGTCATCATGGTTTTGTGATGGTGGTGTTTCAGAGAGCTTGAGAATGAAAGGGAAGTGGAAACGAATGGTTTTCAATTGCCAAGCGGAAAGTGAGAACGAGAACAGAGCACGGTAGCGGCCAAGAAGTGGGCTCGTCTTTTTTATACACTACTTACGAAGATGAGAGCGCGAAGGAGCGAGCGGCGTGCTTCGCTAATGGATTAATGCCACGTCATCAGCAGGTGTACTGATCACGTTCTTTATCTTTTAATCGGGCCTTTTAATTTGTTTGTTTTTGGGCCAATTAATACAATGTTTGAGATAGAAATGTTTGAAAATACTATAACAAAATAGAGTAGAAATTGAAATAATGTAAAAATTATAAATATTTTTTTGGCCAAAAGTAAAAAATTATAAATATGAAAATACATATTCTAGTCCTAAAATATTTTTAAAATATTACATAGTTTTTAAATTTAGAAGAAATAATTCCTTAGGCCAGATCAGAAGGTAGTGGTGATGCATTGGATATGACGTGAAGTTTTGGTATGGATAAGCCCAGTTTCAAATTCCAAGAAATAATAACAAATGTGGGTCCCGCGGCCCCCGCACCTCAGAGGCTCAGACCAATTCAGTGGTGATCGCCTGCTACGAACCCTGGCGATTTGCCACTGACAGTCGTGGATAGCTCTTCCTACTTCTTGTCCACGTGGCAAGATTTGTTCCGCCTGCTTGGCCACGCCTTGACATTTTCTTAAGGGTACTGGCATGGCTTTGGAGAGATAACCATCTAAACACTTTCATTAAAACCCCAATAATTGATTATTATATCAATATCACGGTTTAAAAGCTAAAGCCATGATTTTTCAAGAAGCCAATTTTTCTATTTTTTGAGAGAAAACCCATGATTCTATCAAAACATATGTACATATTAATTATTAATTCATTATGTAAATAATAAATTTGCCTTTCTTATGGATGCTTCTTATTTATATATTTTTTTTAGTAATTTACACGTGAAAAAAGTCCCATTAAATCATTCATCTTTCTGAGAGCAGAGAGGGAGAGAGATCAAATGCAATGAAACATGGAAGTATTAAACTTGTTTTTCATATTTCAAGCCCATTCTTTAATGCATCATGGGCAGAAGATTGGGCCATGAAATGGGCCTCTCTCCCTGAAAGTGACATCAAATAATCCCTCTTTCTGAGATTGCGGGTGTATTTGGATGAAACCAAACCGTGGTTTGGAAAAGTGATTCTGGAGAATAGATTCTGGAAAAAATAGATTCTGTGAAGAATAGATTTGTAAAAAGTGATTCTGAGAAGTGAGAGTGTTTGGATAGTTATCAGAAGCACTTTTTATATATACAAATTACTAAAAAAAAGACATAAGTTAATATGATAATTACAGAAAAAATAGATTTTATGATATATTTTAATTTGAAGAAATAAATTGTTAATAATATATTTTTTACCAATATAATTAATAATACATAAGATAATATAATTAATAAATAATTAATGTCTATATATATTTATAAAATATAAGATTAAATATATTTATAAAAAATATGTTTATAAAAAAAATAACAAGATACATATCATATAGGCCCTCACACTCTCCCTTTTTTCTCCAAAAGCAAAAAAAAATTTTGCTTTTTCCAAAACCATGGTTTTGGAGTCAAAACCATGGTTTTGACCCAAAACCATGGTTTTGATTTTTGGAGAGGCTGTTTGGGTAGCATTTTCCCCAACCATGGTTTGGGGTGCTATCCAAACAGAGCCGCATAGTTTTTTGTGAGGAAGATGAACGAGGACATAAATATGACTATGAGAACGTAGGTGGAAAATGTGGCTCGAGAAATGACGTACTCCTCCTGTCCTTGATATAGGACATAATTATTGAGTTGATTTTAGTTTTAAATATAAGATCCATTTATCATATTTATCTATTTTTCTAAATATCCCTATAGATATTCCTTCAACCATAATCAAGTAAAAGAGGGAAAGGAGGTATTAAGAAAGATGATTATGGTGTTTTAGAAAAAATGTATCACATTTCTTATAATTAATTAACTTACCTGACTTCCTTAATATAATCAAATTAGTTAAATGGATATTATATTAAGGACTAGAGGAGTACCAATTTTTAAACACGTCAGATCAACCATTCAAATCTATGTATCATTGGGAAAATTATATTACTATCTCAAACTCTTAATATAAAAATTAGTTTGATTTTTAATTTAGTATAATATCTTAATTTAATTTATTTTTTTTAAGATGGTCTTTATAGTAGTTACACGTGATAAATATTTCATCAAATATTAAAACTAATATACTTAATTAGTATAGGTATTTTAGATAATACAGTATCTATTTATTACAAATAAACAACTTAATAAATTTTTTTAATCTACTTAAATTGGTCAATTAATTTTTATATTAATAACAAGAAGTAATACCTCTCTGCTTTTGCAAACATTTTGTTCCGAATTCATCAGTCTTAACTGATGAAAAGCTTTTCATCCTTTTTAGATTCTCTTTTTTTTTTTTGTTAGGCTTTACAAATCACCCAAAAGCATGAACATTATTTTTCCATTTGGTTTTAAAATTTAAAATCGTGGTCAGTGATATGAACAATACTTTTTCCATTTGGTTTTAAAATCGTGGTCAATGATGAGGACCGCGATGGCACAACAAACTCGCCATTGAATTCTGGCATGATTGAGATTATCTGACATTTTCTTTCTTTATTTTCTATTTTCCTCGTTTCAAAGGAACTTCACATTTTTTTCTCCTTTTTCTTTGCTCTGTGGAATAAAAGAATATGGATTGATTTTAGAAAATGTGAACTTCACCTATCAAGTGATCAAGCTCAAACATAACAACAAGGTTTCTTTTTTTTTTTTTAAGTATTAGGCTGCATAATAACCTTAACCAGTAATATTCTCATATAATCGTTAGACCTTTTTTATTGGTTATATTCTGAAACATGCTACTACCTCCGGTCTTTAATACTATTATAAGAACTTATTTAACTTTTAATTTGATTCTAAATATAAAACCTCAATCCACTTTATCTTTCATATTTATGTATTTTTTTCCTAAGATAATCCTTCTAATAATAATAATTCTAACCAATACACTTGATTAGTAAGGATATTTTAGGAAAGTCAATACCTATTTATTGCAAATAACTAATTTAACTTATTTTCTTAATCTACTTAAATTAGTCAACTAGTTTTTTATATTTACAACTCGAGATAGTATTACACTTTGTATTACTTTATGAACCCAACTAATTAGACTAAACTAAGATCCTACTTAGAATGATTTATAATCAATTTTTTTATTTTGATTTACAAAATATAAAATAAATATATAACAAAAGTTTTATCTCAAGTTATATAAAAAATTCTTATAAGTGATTTCAATTTTAATAACAAATAGGGCCCAATTTTTTTTGGGTGAATAGGGCCCAATTATTTTTATTTGTATTTAATTCAAATTACAACAGGATACGCATAGGAATATGCCCCTGTGACCCGATATCTCGGTCAAAACCCGGAACCGTGGTTCTGCGACCCCTGGGGCAACATGAATTTCTTGTTATATAAACTTTTTAATTATATAAAAATCGGTGGCCAATTTTTTCCCATTAAAATCATTTAAATTTTTTAATTTACTAGAAACATATAAATTTAACATGATTTTTGTGTGAGAAAATCATAAATTTTCGCTCAACTTTAATTTAATCCTTATTGCTATATCTTATCAATATCTCACTACATTTACGGGTTTACTCCACTTTATTTTTTATATATTTAATCATCCTGATGTTGATAAATCATACATATTTACAGTATTAAGATATTACCATTATATAATCATTATCATCAACAAACTTATCTAAATCTTATCGAATCTAACCATGGTGCCTAAATTAATATTTTTATAAATTACGACATTTAATAACTAGTTATATAATAAAATTGGCATATAAAATTAAAATTGAATGAAATTATCTTGGACAAAATTATTATTTCCAATTTTGTTGAAATGTATATAATTATTATAATTTTAATAAAATTAAATTAAAGCATGATTATTTTTATTCTATTTAAGATTAAGATATCCGTTCTCATCGTCTTCAATTTTCCACTTTTACACGCAAATCCCATTCCATAACATCCCGCGACCCGATTTTATTCTGTTGCCGTCAATTCCCAGAACTGAAGAAGAACTCTGATGAACAAGATAATGAGTGATAACATATCCGAGATCGAGAAACTAGAGTTACTTCACAAATCGCAGGTCTTCAAGATCAGAGGCAGAGACAAGCAAGGCCGCAAGATCCTTCGCATCATCGGCAAGTTTTTCCCTGGTAAATTCACTCACCCAGTCATCGTTCTTTGTATTCTTCACAATCATTCGATCATATCTTTCGTTTTTCTCTCCGTGGCAATTTTCTTGATCGATTTCCTTGCGTGCCAGCTCGGCTGGTGAGCGTTGACCTTCTAAGAAGGTATTTAGAGGAGAGGATTTTCCCGAAACTGGAGAAGAAGAAATTCTCGGTGTTATATGTTCATACCGGCGTTCAGCGGAGCGAGAATTTTCCAGGAATATCGGCCTTGAGATCAATCTACGATGCGATTCCGTTGAATGCAAAGGAAAATTTGGAGGCCGTGTATTTTGTGCACCCAGGCCTCCAGGCGCGGCTTTTCCTCGCCACGTTTGGCCGTTTTCTCTTCAATGCTGGGTAAGGCTTCAGGTTTTCAAACGCTTTTCAGTTTGGCGCAATTTAGTTTTGATACAATCAGATTTGCTAATATAAGCATTTATGGTTGGTTAGCGTTTAGTCGTCTAACAACAAATTGGATCTTCTGCTTTCTCTCCCTTTCTTGGAGGGGACAAATTAGCTAAATTCAGGATTTAAAAAATATTCTAATCCAAAGAATCCAACATGAAGGGAAAAAAAAGGAATTAGTAAAGCGGAAAGCAGAGAGAATAATTAAAAATGTTAGACATTCTGTCAAGAGGTTTTATTTGGGTGTGGTAGGTTGTACGGGAAGGTAAGGTACGTGAGCAGGCTGGCCTATCTGTGGGAAAATGTCAAGAGGAATGAGGTGGAAATACCAGAGTTTGTGTACGATCACGATGAAGACTTGGAATATAGGCCCCTGATGGATTATGGATTGGAGAGCGATCACGCCAGGGTGTGCCATCCATCGTCCATTGAATCCCCTATCTCCACCTACTCCATGAGGTGCATCTCATAGGATCATCCCCCTTCCCACTCTTTGCTTGCAGTTGCAGAGCACAAAAACGAAGGAGGAGAAACTAAGAACAGCTCAGACAGATAGAACCCTTTTTTTTTTTTGGTTGGCGTTTGAACTAAAATTTCGTCATGTATATTGCATATGAAAGGCTTTTTTTTTTGTATCACTTAAAGTTTTATGTCCATTTTAAATTTTTAGCTGATTCCCCTGTACTCCTGTGAATAGATATTTTGGAATTAATATCATATATTAAGTTGTATTTTATTGTTCAGAGACCAATCTAATTTCAATAAAAGGCCATGACTCACATAGTTAATTTCTCATTGGACTTAATTTAAATGTGTTAAGTTTAATAATCGAGTGACAGCTTAATATATGATTAGAAAGTTTCAACATTCAACATTCTCCAATTTGGATAAAAGAATGTTACTCTGTTTTTGTAGAGCCACACGCGTTTGACAATAACACCTCAGGCACGCATCTTAAAAAGGTTCCCAAGATGATACGATAAATAACATCGTCACACATACTGCGTCATTATCAATATAATTGGGGTTGCACGCTCCGCAAACCATTTAACTTATATTATCATGAATCATAAGTTTGGAAACAAGATAACAGATAGCTTATAACATATTTTTAATAATACATTATTTTTTGCATGTAATTTGTTTAATTTCTCAACATTCTTTATACTCAAGAAATTACCAGCACGAATATCTCAAATATTTTTATCTTAGTAATTTTGAAAAGTGTTTAACACAGATAGGATCACATTTCAATAAATGTTTGTTTATTTCAACATTTTAACGATGGTCTATGACAAAAAAAAATTTCTCTGATCTCTTTTTTATAAGAACTTCGTATAAAGCTTAGCAATGAGTAGTAAATCGAAATGTATTAATCGCTTTTTTGTTTTTTTTATGCACAACAGGCTCTCGCCCACTAAAGATGAACACATTTTCTAATTAAAATTCATGACTGCAGATAGAAAATAGAAATAATGCCAGGCCGGGCCCACTTGTCAGCGACTGGATCCAGGTAGTTGTCTCGTCCAGATGCTTGACGTTGAATGAACCCTCCTTCCTATTGCCTGCACTTTCATTTTTCTAACCATAACCAAAGCACAAATGCTGCAACCTACCACCGCAGCACAGTCGGATTGGACATCCCCCAGTATGCAAAAACGCCGTGTCCCCAGTGCTCATGAATTGGACAGACTCACCATAACAACCGTTTAATTGGTTCAATTCAATCATCATTTGTTTCATATACTAGCATATATAACTCGTTAGTTTTGGTCTACATTTTATATATATTTATGTATATTGGTGATATATAAGCTAAGGAACAGTGTTTTAAGAGACTAAACATGTGGAACAAGTAATAAAGAATCAAGTTATATGAAAAGGGACTATATTCTACCTGTATGAGTCAAATATTGTAATGTGCTTAGATTCTGATCCAGGAAGGGGGAGGCCAAAACGGTTTTGAACTACGAGGATCAAGTTTAGAGGTCATGGTGCCTCCATCACCCAGGTTGTACACCCGAACATCAAAAATATCAGTAAAGAAAATACAGTTCCTGCATACCCAGCAAAATCATTGGCAGAAACCGACAGGTTGCTGCTATTTCCCAATATAAACACTCTGTCTTCCAAATCCTTCACAGCCACCCATTTCCCCCACTCTTCATCCAACCTGTAAACCTTAAAATCCACAACCGAAGCTTCATCATCCGGCCTTGTGCGTTCACTGCCATAGTGCCTATCAACAATATAAAGATTCCCACTAGATTCAACCAAATGCTTCTTGTGTCCCAAACCACACAAGGGAGGCGAATATTGAATCAGCTTCAACGAGGATGTGTCGATCCATGATACGGTACCCCCCCAATCTGTCACATAAAGCTGACCTTTGTACACAATAACATCATCATAGTAATAATTCTTACCATCCACGAGCGTCCATTTGTTGTCTCCATGTTTGAACAACGCCAACTTACCCTCCTGATAGATACAGCAGGCCACAGAATCCTTTACGTCAGACCAACACGAGGTCGGGAAGAACACGACTTTCTTTATAGGAAATCCGGACTGCTGGAGGCTATATGATTTGTATAACTCCACCGCCCGATAGTCCAGCAGGTTCAATTTCTCCGAGGAGAGCGGCGTGGTTTCGGGATTTTTTGGTCGGAAAGTGGGTTTAGGAGACGAAGAGCATGAGGTTGTGAGGGATTTGATTTTCCTACTTTAATTAACCAGCCTTTGGGAGAAGAAGGTGAGGGTTGGTGGGGTGGTTCGATTCGATAAATAGTGGACTGAGAGAGAAAAACGAACTTGGAGGGATTGCTGGGATGGGGGATTCGGAGAGGGAATAAAGAAGGAGAGTTAGGGAGAGAGGGAGGTATTGAGGATCGCCATGACTTGCAGACGCTACGAAATCGGACAAGGTCGATGTGATTGTGGAGAGATTTGCAGATCTGGGGCCAGAGTTCCGACGGAAGATCGCACCAATTTGACTCCGATACGCTCTTGAGTTGACTCTCCATGGACATTTGTCGTTCCAACACAGAAGCTCACAAGGATTCCAGCTACTACCATGTTTCGGAAATTACACAGGTTTTTTTTTTAAAAAAAAAACAGCCTTAAACGCTAAGTTAGTGGCATCAATAATTTTTTTCTCAATAAAAAGCAGCGAGTTTGATTCCATAATAAATAAAAAGTGGATGTTAAGTCAATGGCATAATAGCATAAAAACTCATCTCGTCTTTAATCTTGTATCGTCAGTGAGCGTGCCTTTAAATTTAAAAAGAAACGCATATATTTGATCAAAAGAGCAAGTTGACGATAAAAATCAACAACACTTCGACACCTGGGCAGCGGATGAATGTGCGAAGGGGGAGACAGCCAACACGTGCGCCTCCTCTCTCTCGATCCCCACTTTGTTGCCGGAATTAATGTTAGCCACCTCATGTAAATGTGTTTTATTGAATACAATGTTGCAGTTTGTTAAACTTTTAGACAGAGAATTGAAATTAAATTTTTTATTAAAAGAGGTGTTTATATTTAATTCGAAAAAAAAAATCTCTCTTTTTGTGCCCCCGTGTCTTAATTTTTCTCTTCCCCCCACATTTATCCTTCCACTCTTCGTTTCTTCTGCCCCATCCTTTCTTCTTTCCACTTCTTCTCTCACCCCGTCCTCTCTCTTCTCTTGATCTTTTTTAATTTCTCCACTCCATTCTTCTTCACCTTTCTCTCTCTTCCTCCACTCTGTTTTATTTGCTGGCAAATTCACATTCTATGAATTCTCAGCGTTTTGATTTAATATTCATGTCAACAAGCATACCTTTAATTTTTTTTCCCAGATTATTTCACCTCATATATATATATAGACAATGCTGCAATTAAATGGACATGTCACATAATTATTTTATTTATGTATATATGTAAAAGCATCTTCAACATGAGATATTGTAAATAACAAAAAATGTCAGAATGAGATCACATCCATTCCATCTTATCTGAAAGCTCTTCAAATGAAAAAACAAAAGCTAAAAAACAAGGTTTTTTTTATGCCAACGGCATTATAAGTTAACCTAATAGAAGTAGACTCCCCGTATCGCTCCATTTTCTTTATTTGGTTATTTTAGTAAAGGTTTGCTCTAATATTCTTCAGAAATATTTAAACTTATGTTATCGATCATGAGTTCGGAAACGTGACAAGAGATGGCTCGTAAAATGTAATCAATAATACAATAATATTTTTTATTTGTACTTTTGTTTTTTTTTTTGGGGTCAGAAATTTGTAGTTTGTTTAATTTCTCAACATTTTTCTACTCAGAATGGAACTTAAAATGAGCACGGACATCCCAAATATTTTAATCTTCATAACATTTAAAGTTGTTTGATAGAGACAGAGACACATTTTAATAAATATTCATTTCAATATTTTAATGATATGGTTGATAGGAAAAAAAATCCCTGACCCGTCCATCTTATAACAAACTTTTAAAAAGCTTACTACAGTTTGCTCTCTTCTTTTGTTAGCAAAAAAAGTTTGCTGTTTTGCCTTTGAATATTCCTATTTATTGGTACTGAAAAAAATAGCTATACATTGAGTAGATGGAAAGAGATTATCAATAAGAAGTAAATCAAAACATATTCGGCAGTTTAACTGCCGACCGAAAAATAAAAATAATGTCACGCTGCGGCTTTTTTTTTTTTAGACAATTTGACTTTTTTGTTTTTTTGGTTAAGTATAAGAGACAATCCTATTTAAAAAATTAAGAGGATAATAAACAGAGCACCTTTCTCTCTCGATGGGGATTCATGAGAGGTGCCCCTTTTACAGGAGGGGGACTCACGCACCCACCCTTATTTTGGCAACATGGTCCTATTTGACAGTGGCTGAATCCAGCTACGTAGTTGTATCATCCAGAAGCTTGAAGTTGAATGACCTTAATTTCTCACAGCTTGCGCCTTCATTTTCTAAGCACAACTAACGCACGATACCATAGCACGGTCAGATTGGACTCCCCACAATATGCAGAAACGTCATGAATCATCAAGTCCATCTGCTCATGAATTGAACAGACTCATTATAAATAACAAACGTTTAGCTAGCCCAATCATCATTTGTCTCTTTCATGTATAACTCTATTTGGAATCATTAGTATCAAACAGAGAGAGAGATCATGACATTTGACAAATAAACTGCATCATCAATTACAGTTCCGCCGTGTTTTGGTCTCGATTGGTGATGTCTGTGCAAGCTAAGGCACAGTATTTAACAGAATAAGCATGTCAGACAAGTAATAAAGAATCAAGTTATAAGAAAAGGGAGTATATTCTACCTTGGACGAGTCGAATATTTTTAAGATTGGCTTTGTGCTTAGATTCTGAGCCAAGAAGGGGGAGGCCAAAACAGTTTTGAAGTACATGGATCAAGTTCCAAGGTCATGGTGCTACCATCACCTAGGTTGTACACTCGAACATCAAAAATATCAATGAAGAAAATGCAGTTTCCTGCATACCCAGCAAAGTCATTAGCGGAAACAGACAAGTTACAGCTATTTCCCAATATAAACACTCTGTCTTCCAAATCCTTCACATCCACCCATGTCCCCCACTCTTCATCCAATCTATAAACCTTAAAGTTCACAACCGAAGCTTCATAATATGGTCTCCTGGGTTCACTATCATAGTACCTATCAACAACAAAAAGGTTCCCACATGACTCAACCAAATGCTTCTTGTGTCCAAAACCACACAAGGGAGGCGAATATTGGATCAACTTCAACGAGGATGTGTCGATCCATGATATGGTACCCCACCTATCTGTCACATAAAGCTGACCTTTATACACAATAACATCATCGTAGTAATAATTCAAATCATCAACGAGTCTCCATTGGTTGTCTCCTCGTTTGAACAACGCCAACTTACCCTCCTGATAGATACAGCAGGCCACAGAATCATTCACGTCAGACCAACACGAGGTCGGGAAGAACACGACTTTCTTTATAGGAAATCCGCACTCCTGGAGGCTATATGATTTGTATAACTCCACCGCCCGATAGTCCAGCAGATTCAATATTCTCCGGGAAGAGATGCGCGATTTCGAGATTTTTCGGTCGGAAAGTGGGTTTAGGAGACGAAGAGCATGAGATTGTGAGGGATTTGATTGTCCTTCTAGTTTGATTAACCAGCCTTTGTGAGAAGATGAGGGTTGGTGGGGTGATTCGATTCGATAAATAGTGGACTGAGAGAGAAAAACGAACTTGGAGGGATTGATGGGATGGGGGATCTGGAAAGGGAATAAAGAAGGAGAGTTAGGGAGAGAGGAAGGGATCGAGGATCGCCATGACTTGCAGACGCTGCGAAATCTAACAAGATCGACGTGATTGTGGAGAGATTTGGCGATCTTCGGCCAGAGTTCTGACGGAAGATCGCTCCAATCGGGTCTCAAATCCATTGCCTCGGACATGCTCCTGACTTGACTCTCCATGGACATTAATTTGAAGGTACACTGTGTTTCAGAAATTACACAGGAAACCCAACATTGACTCCTGAAGTCAAGCAATCGAGCTTTTTTTTTTTTTTTAAACAGTCTTAATCGCTAAGTTAGAAATGAAGATTTGACCAAAAGAGCGAGTTGGAATGACTGTTGGCAAATGCCGTAAAAAATATCAACAGTCCGACGTTCTTTGGCCCCACATGAACGTGTCATGCTCACTGCTTTATCAATATCAATGTCCTCAAAGCTATCTCTTTCGATCTCCCAGTCCTTTTTGCCTTCCGGAATCCAGCATGACTCAAATTCAATTTTATTAAGTTCATTTTTACCCGAATCAATTCTCACTTTGTTGCAGGACGCTGTGGCCATGGATAGGTTAGGAATGTTAGTGACCTCGTGTAAATTTGTTTTCGTTGAATTTACAAGTCGCAGTTTTGTTTAGTTATCAAGGAATAAAAAACCGGACCGGACACTAAAACCGGTTGAAGTAGTGGTTCAAGGGTTAATGGGTTAGATCGGGGTCAACTCGAGATCAAACCGGTCATACTAAAATAATATAATTTAATTAAAAATGACAAAATATAACAATACTAATAATTACTAATAACAAAATATAAAGAAATACAATAAGAATTTGATTGTAATAATAATAAAGTACAACAATATTGAGAATTTTGATCTTTATAATTTTTCAATAACTAAAATTAATAGTTATTGATATCAAACTCATTATTAAAATTCATTTAAATCTATAATAATTGAGATATTATGAGCTAAATGAGAAAAAATAAGATAAATATCAATATATTTATTTAAACCGGTTCATACCGGTTTAGTCTTTGAACCAGACCAAACCGGTTTACCAGTTGAACCAGCCGGTCCGATCCGATTTTTTTTTTACACTGTTAGTTATAGTGCCAAACTCTCTCTCCATGCATTTTTCTCTCCCCCATCACCATTCTTCTTCTATCCTTTCGTCTCATCCAATCTTCTTTGGTGGCAAATTCACATTCTATGAACAAGTTTATTTATGAAAGACTATAGATTAATGAATGCCTTATTGCCAGCCATATAAGCTTCAACTTGAGATATTAAATAGCAAACAACGTCAGAATGAGATCATGCATTCCATCTCATTTGCAAGTTCTTCAAATGAAAAACAAAAACAAATTAAAGAAGCAGGGATTTCTGTGATGAGGCTGAATAACGTATATAACAGAAATAGATATAGACTCCCCGCTTTTCTGCTTGTCTTTATTTGGATATAAATATTTTACCCAAAGAGTCTGCTCAGATATTCTTCATAAGGATTTGGTGCTCTGAGAAACTAAATCTGAGCAAGCTGACGGAAGTTGATGGGAGTGACCAAAATGGGAGGTCCGTTAAAAAGTTTAGAAGCTGCTAGAAAGGAAGCTTTATCAGTTGGATGGAACCAATCCCAAAACAAGAAATCATTACGGTTTCCACAAAGCTCAGCATTAATGGACTTAAGGCATGGACCTTGTCCATTCAGCTTCCCAACTCCACAACATGCCTTCTTCGTCTCCTTTATGCCAAACAAGGAGGGACTTCGCAGGACGGCTGAAGTCATAGCAAAGGAATCGCCCAGTGAGTACTTGAAATCCCTCAGGTCAGAGCTTAACCTCTGCAACGTGGAAGCAGTTACAGAGTTGAATACTGTTGCAAATTTGTTGAGTGGTTCCACACACTCTCCTCCATTATTGTTCATCGCTTTTACTGCAGGACAGCACCCTATGGCTGCTACGCTTATGATCCCAAATTTTCTTGCCCCTAATGCGTATAGATTCTGCAGTGCACTCGACCACCACGTACATTAGTTGGATATAGCAACATATTGTTCAGGAGTGAAGAGAAATATTATAAATATGTACGAACCAGAATTTGAGTGTAGTAGTTGGATTGAAGAGCAGCCAAGTATTGATTCTGGCCTAATCTGGTGGCACTTTGGTTGGTGGAGAATTCCAACAGGTCGTTGCCTCCAACGCTGATTATGAACAAAGCTTTTGAAAGGAAAGTTGCAGTCTGATTAGTCCCCAGTGTCTCAGCTATACTTGATCGCACCACTGCAAATTGTTCCACTTGCTTCTCAAGGGGTAATACCCCGCCCTTCATACATGCATTTTAAAATACAATTAATGTACTTTCGTTTAGGATTACTAACTAACATTTATAAAACACTCTTAATTAACGCCACAATGGTTTTACATTCTCTCACACCTGTATGTGTGTACACACATAGTAGTTCTATATCAAACTTTCACCTCATGGCAAAATTCAATGAAGAAAGAACAAATTAAGATGTGTTATCACTAACCCATTTTTTTTTCCCAGTTTCTCTGAGAATTCCAGACCCTCCTGATGCAAAATTCACCCCTCTTAGTACATTCTTATTGAAAGTGTCGGGATGATCAAATCGCAGAGCCAAGTATGGTGGCGGACTCTCCACGTATCCGAATAGTTTAGCTTCATCATGATTCGCAACGCAAGAACAAAACAAAATCAAACGAGGAAATTGAGAAAATCATATGATTATACGTGTTGCATTCTTTAAAAAAAAGGCCACCACTATTTACCAATGTGGTCAATAGTGTTGAAGCCATTGCTGAACCTTCCCGTGGCCACAGAGTTTGGAAAATCAATCCCATAGTAAGGGACATTGGCCCTTGCTCCTGTTCCCAGAAAATTATTAGTGCCCACATCTGCAGTTGAATCTCCAAATATGAACAGCACTGGCCTATTCTCCTGAGTCCCGTATGTCACGCGCACGGCCACACAAAGAAACACAAGAACAATGGAACTTGTTAGGCCAGAAAATGATGATGCCATTTTCTGCGCCTTAATTTCACACTCAGAGAAAGCGTTTATTGGTGTTGATTTTGAGATGCCAAAACACGAGATTTCTCTTTGTTTATATACACCAAACGTAAGAGGAGGGAAACAAACGAAATAGTTAAAAAGATGTTGTATGAATATTAACGGAGGGCTGGTCATGGCCGACGACCATGGTCATGTTGTATTTGGCATGAACGTAACCAATTAGAATTAGAGGAGAATCCTATGTTTATATATGTAATTAATTAATACTACTTCCGGTCCTTAATATAAGACCCTATTTGACTTTTATTTTGGTTCTAAATATATGACCCCAATCCACTTTGCCTCTTATATTTATATATATTTTTTCAAAATAGCCCTTCTAATAATGATGGTTCTAGTCAGTACACTTGATTAGCAATGATATTTTAGGAAATATAATACCTATTTAAGACAAATAACTAACTCAACTTACTACCTTAACCTCTTCAAATTAATCAACTGGCTTTTATAATTAGGACCGGAAGTAGTATGATAATAGTGCTTTCTCATGCTTATGCATACATGCTTGGTTATTATGGTGCCGTCCTCAATCATCATCGTCATCGTCATCCATCTAGCCATGTCTACATATATGATGGATGGGACTAAGTCATCTTTCTCATTCTTTAATTTAAACTCTTTGGTTTGTAAAGCATGCATATAAATTTAATAGACATAAATATATTCAATGAGCACTCCTTTTGGTCTTAATTATAGGGTAAAGCTGTAAAATTTTATAGGGTCCTAAATACAGCAAATATGTGATAGTTAATTTTTTCCCCCAATCTTACCTCTTTATAATTGTAATAAATTGCTAACATGTTTTCAATTAAATTCGTGGACGGTACAGTATTATGATTACTAAGTTTAGTAAAGGGACAAAATTAAAAAATCAGATATTTTTTTGGCTAACTTGTAAATGGCTTTTATTAGGAGTAGCATGTTTTAATTTTGTTCATTTATTAAATAAACGAGATTCTGATATTGTACTCGCTAAATGAGTGAGTCAAATTAATTTCAATATGTTACGTTTGGCTTAATCGGTTGTTGGAAATTATTGAAAGTGTATACTGATAATACTAATAATCCCTTATGTGTTGGAAAAGCATTGGATTTGGCTATTAACACTATGAAATCTAAAATCTAAATAGTATTATTGCCCCCATGAGCCATGCATCTGAACAGAAACAAGAGAAGCACTTTGCAACTTTCAAGTCTATTTGCCTTGTTAGTTAAAACTTATAATTTTGGTCGTTAACGCACAATCTAATGAGCTAAGGATATTCCTAGGGCATGATAAAAATATAAATTATGCATGAATAAATATATAAATAAGACAAAAGTGGAAGATGTTTGCTTTGTTTTAGCTGAAGACAGCGTAACATTTTTATTTATGTATATTTAGTATACATGGACAGAAACTAGATGATCAAAGAAATTTCCACATATGTATACATGTAATTTGCATTATTTTTATACGTCGGGTCGTTAAATCCACGTTAAAAAATCGCCACTAAAATACCTTTCCTTTTCTTTTTTCCAAATAATTATCTTTTTTTTTTTTTTTACTCGTGAAAATTTTACTCCAGTGAGCGGTGAGATCTGCTGATGAGAAAAAAAGGGGCAGTGAGATCAGGAGCCATATTATGCTTAAATATTTTACACTGGGTTAAAATAAAACTTCTTTATACACTCTGTCTCCCTTTTGACAAATCAGCATACAACTAAAACTAAGATTGACATTAGAACCTTTAAAAAGTTAAAAAAAAAAAAAACTCACCATTATATTCCACTTTCTAATTTCCTCTATATCATTCCCTTCGAGTACATTTTCTTCCATCAAGATTATTTCGGATTGAAAAAGCTCACGTGAATTCCAGTATCTATGATAACATAAATACTAGCAGCAATCAAAATGCCACTGAGAGCCATCCCCAATGTTCCCAAGAACCAATTGAGACACCACATCACACTATACTTCTTTGGTTTCTTATGCTTGAGCCACATGAAGCATGGGTAAGCCAATGTCACAGGCAGAGCCACTCCTCCGACCAGACCTGCCAAGCTTGACAAAAATGGAATCGCCACCCCTATAAAGAAACACAGGAACCCAAAAAACACCCTGAAAACTGACCGGAGCCACCACGGGCATGGCTTCTTCATTCTTCTTGTGTACTGTGATTCCATGTCGTCAAAAACTGGCATGCCATAGATTTGGAATGAGCACAGCCCATTCACCACCACAAATAAACTGGTCAACCCCAGCACAAATCTTGACACGTCTTGGGAATGGAATTGGTATAGAGCTGTCAGCATTCCTCCATTTGCTGGAATCTGTAAGATTTTCGGTCAACTATGAATATCAGCAGCGGAAGACAAAGCATTGCAACACATTTGTTCCTTAGATTGTTGGACTCATATAGTTAGGTACATTTTGGAACTTACTAGTGAGTATTTTCAAAGTAGAAGCTTTGAAAAGGCTAAAATAGTTATTATTCAATCATCAATATGGTTTTCTAAGTAACGCTTTCAATTCATTATTTGATCATGAATCGTGGTGTTTGGAAGTGAGGATGGTTACCTGATGACCATAGGCCCAATAGCCACCAATGGCCAAGGGGAAGAGGCATGCGGCTATGATGGTGTAAGCACCCTTCACTCCGTTCCACATGGGCACATGAGAAGGATGTTTCTCGCTTGAGGGCATTGTAGCCTACAAATATAGGACAAAGACTTGAAAACTAAGTAGGTGGGCAAGTTTGAAAGAGACCATTTAATTGAAAATATAGAAATTTCTGACATCTAAGATTTCAAAAGAAAACCCCAGAACAACTTAGAATGAAAAATGAACAGAAAACAACTTGCCTTATTAATTGTACTATTAGGACAGATTCATGTCATTTTACTTGCAACTTTCAATGCTCTGTTTGGTATAATAAAATTTCAATTCTCTATGAGATGACATCCTAAAATATCTCTCCCTTGTTGAGATAAAATGAACTATAATCACAACTACCTACCCTGGTTTTCTTCCGATTCTGCAGCTATTGTGGACTAATAATCAACCAGAGATGACTAGAGGACACAACAAGTTAAGAAAGTCATCGCTCGATATTAATAGCATGAGCTCGACCCACCCTCTTTAATGGTGAAGTTTCTCGACTTCAAATTTTCAATGCTGCTCTATACTGTCAAAGCCCATCCTTATTCCCTTTTCTCTTTATTAGTAGTAATATGAATCCTCTGACATTTTCAATAACGTCAACTACTCCATCCGCCCATTATATAAGTCATACGATCCCATAAACCAAATACAAATGATTGTTTTACAACTAAAAGTCTTCGTCATTAAGTACAAAAGATGTTACCAACACAGAATCTAATTTTCAAATAATTTAGCCTCATTGTACGTTTTGGTTCATAACATGGACGAAACTACTCGAAATTGGTACCTGAGCGATTAGCAAGAACCACAAATTTCGCGGTGAAATCAGAAAATTAAGGCTATAAGGAGTAGAAATATAACGGACCTGAATTTCAAGGATAAGATTATGGCCTCTGAAAGCGAAGGCGACGATTCCGAGGGCACTGAGGACACTAAAAGCATCCTCAACATCATTCCCCGTCCTCACAGGATCATAAGACACACCATGAAGGCTACCCTTGGAGACGGAGACGGCCCAGATGGAGGTACAGTACCCGACGGCTGTGACGGCGCCGATGAGAGAGACGCCGGCGATGGAATTCAAGTTTGGCAACTGAGAGAGCACCACCGCAGCACAGGTAAAGACAAGATACCATTCCACTGTGGTCATTGGGCTGGCCGTGCAATGGGCCCCACACACCACCTGATAGAACGTCCTGGCCGTTGATCCTCCTATGATGATCAGAGTCGTACACGTGCCCGCCGATAGGTACATTATCGGAAACAACGCCATCAATTTCCCCAGTCTCTCACCTACATCATAACCCACCCCAAGTCAAAATGCTTAGGCTTTGGATCTCTGAAAGCGACTGTTCCTCACGTGTAATTCCTTCCTCCTCAGCGCATGGGGAAGATTGCTTAACCAAATTTGTTTATCCAAAACACATCTAACTAACAAGTCTTACAAAATTTTATGAAATATTAAAATATGATAACTTATTTACAAATCGCGATTGTTTTTTAAACACAGGATGATGAGAAAGAGAGTTGAATGTATAAGATTACCAAAGGTGGCGAAGACGAGTTGAAGGTAGCGACTGTAACGAACTCCTTGCTCCACAGATTCATGAAGATGAACCAGGAGCCACAGCGTGTAAAGCTGCCATACGAACGCCACCGTGAGGCTTATTATTCCTCCGGTCCTGTATCATCATCGCATCACCGTTTCCAATCAGCTCTCATTCATATAATTAAAGAAAATCAGAATCATTATCGCTTAATGATACGTACCAACCGAGAATAGTGAAAGCCACGGGCAGAACCAGCGCCTGAATACCAATCCCGGAGCAGAGAGTGTGAAACGCAGCGTAAAACTTGTTGCCATTTCTGGACTGTGTGATTGGAAGCCATGCGTCCTGAGGATCAAGCTTGGTGAACCTCAAGGCCTTCCTCATGGGGCTAGCCAGAGGAGTGATAAACCTTGGCGTGAGATTGGACACGGACAGCCTCGGGGTTCTGGGAGTTCCGGGAGTTCCGGGAGTTTTAGGGGTCTTACTCACGGGATGATGACGTGCATGTGGATGAGAAGGCGCTTCTTCTCCGTTCTGAGGATGAAGAAGAGGAGACCTCGAGAGAGAAGGAGAGTGAAACTGAGACGGAGGACAGGACACGGGTGGAGGAGATGACACAGTAGGTGTCCCCATGACTGAAGCTCTTCTTGGCGTTACAGGAGCAGACCATATTTCCTTCGGTTCCGCCATTCTTATTTCTTTCTCTGCTTTCTGCACCTCCTCCTCCTCCTTCTATTGCTGTACTTGTGAGAAAGTCTTGAGTTGGTGTGTTTATATATATAAGGGCTTGTTCCGTGGAACGAAGAAGATATGAAAGCAAGTTGGTGGGCACATAGTCGGAGATGCGACTCCCATTAATTAAAATGTGTGAAAATGGTTGAGTCATTAAAGTATTCGGATTAATTGGCTGGTGGAGGTCTATTAATTATTTATAGCAATGAGAGTGACCACGGACAACAATGGTTGCTAATTATCTCTCCTGTTTGGGATAAATTTGTGATTGTTTAGTGGTAAGTGGCAAGTGTTTTTATGGCTGCTTGAAAAAAAGTTAAACAAAAAAAAATCGAATTGAACGAATAATGAATGAATTATTTGCAAAAGCAATTTAAACACAAAAGTCAAAAAGATGATTATTTTCAATAAGAAAGAAATGATATCTTTTAATACCTTTTTGAACGTTTTGCTATGAGGAGCAATCTTTATGAGGAAACAAGCATTGGTCAGCATTTTGCGCCTTAGAGGAATGAGACATTCAACTCTCAACAACCCTGTGAGGTGAATGAAGAGAAAGTTCATAAAAGGCCAAAGACAAAATCATTATTATTATAATTAAACTAAAATAAGCTGATATATATATATATATATATATATAGTGGGATGGGCTTGGAGATTGGTGGTCAATTAGGGCGTCCATAACCACAAGTCCATAATGTTCGCACGATATAGTGGGATTGTTCCAACCTTGCACTGCATGAATTATGGATTAAGTTATTTAGATTTTTTTTTGTAAGAAAATATTAACTTAATTAAAAATTTCTTATAGTTTAAGTGAATTTTTGTTATTCTATCTGAATCGCCTCCACTGAATTTTTTCAGTTAAGAGGTGTGCACTTATTAGGATTGCAACTCAATGGTTTTCTTTATGAGAGAGCACACCATTTCGTACTTTTTCTTTTAATTCAATATTTTCAACTCGCGTGATGTATACATGACGTATGAATTAATTGGTGCCATCCTTGTAATTTTCTAGTTCTAGTTATGTACAAGTCAAATATTTGCCTCCGGTGTGCATTGATTGGTCTGGTTTTAAACACATTAATGTTTCTTAACAAAACTTTTTTTTTTTTAAAAAAAAGTAATTTAATCCCGTAGATATGAACAGCTTTCCCTCTTCTAAAACTCCATTTCCGTACTTGGTGCTCAATACGTATGAAGTTGTTTTACTAAATCAAAAGTAATACCAATGGTTAATTAAATGGCACCTCTTTGAATTCAATGGTAGGAAAAATGTCAACACAAGGAACCTCTGTTCAAATATACTTGCACAGACACATGCACATAATCTATTCATTTGACTAATACCAACAGAATTATAGTATTTAAAATGGAAGGTTAAATTCATTATAGCATTGGCAGAATACAGTTAAAGATATTAAAACCAGAAAAAGGGCTTAAAAACTGAGAAAGAACCTGGACCCATACAGCCGTCTTAATCAACAGATTTATTTATTTATTTTTCCCCAAAAGCGTATGTTGAATAATTCTCACATTTTTCTGGTTTTTCTTCGATTTGACAAGTTAGTTAGATAAAGTTCTTTTGTTCAACATGTGTATCATCAGTGCGAAAGAATGCTCCGGCAAAAAAACAAAAAAAAAGTCAGTGTGAAAGAATGGAGGGCCAGCAAGATACGTGAGAATTTGCGATGAAGTCTACTTTGGTGATCTGCGTTTAGTGATAGAAAATGATTAATTAAAAAAAATTACGAAATCAAAGAATTTCATGAAACTAGAAGTGGAAAATTTTCATATGATTCAAATCTCACATTTCATATACCTTCTCTAGAATACTACCTCCGGTCCTAATTATAAAAACTAATTGACTAATTTAAGGAGATTAATAAAAAAAGTTAAGTTGGTTATATATAATAAATAGATGTTATCTTTCCAAAAATATCCTTACTAATCAAGTTTATTGGTTTAAACTACCATTGTTAAAAGGACTAATTTGAAAAAAAAAGTGCATAAATATGATAGACAAAATAGATTGGGGTCTCATATTTAGAATCAAAATAAAAATAAAATAATATCTTATATTAAGGACGGGAAAAGTATTAACACAAAGGGGAAAATTTATTGTCTTTCGTAATCTCCGAACTCACGGCTCGGAATAACGCAAACAATTTCTTTATACTTATCGATGAGTTTGACAAAGTTCATTTAAAAGTATCACATGCAGGGAATAATACCACGGCATTTTCATGATCTGTTCATTGTTCATGACTAAAATTATTTGCATGTGTCAGCCAAGTTTGAAAGTTACTGACGACTGATTTCTATCCCATGACGATGGGTTGGTATCCATTTGTGTTTCATCCTTTGGAAAATTTTACAACTTTTCCATGAGAGACAACGAAGCTTTGCAATATAAATTGATTGATGCGAGAAAAAAATCTCAAAGCAAAGGTCAAGAGGTGGTTTAGGTTGGCTCATCTTAAGCCACAACCTTAGGGCAATCGGTTCTTCCACTTGTATACTTCTCATCAAGACAAAATCTATCCAATACGAGACATCTCACATCAAGTTAAGCATACTCACACCTAACGTCTCGACACCCAGCAATTTTAAATTATAAAGTATAATATCAAATTTTATGTGTTTAAATATTGGGCATGCGTAATCATCAAAACAAAAATATTGTGTATACATATATGCAAGTAATTTAAGACAGTCTATAAACTAGAATTGGGACTTCTTGAATTTCAGTGCTTCAAACCGTGCAGCAAGTTCATCATAATCCGGCAATTTGGGGTGAACACGAGAAACAGCATTACCATCTGGAGCTGACGGTACTGGTGGTGGAGGCCGATTAGGTGGTGGCAAATCACCGTGAGGTTCTTCTTCCATTTCAGTCTCTTCATCATAATCTGACTCATCAAATTTTATATCCGAATGCGCAGAAGTTGGATTGTAGCTGTATCTCCTATAAACCTGTTCAGAATGCATGTCCGTAGGCATTTTATCCTCACCGTTTATATGATCAGACCTTGGTAAGCTACGCGACTTGTGCATTGTCTCTGGAGTTTTCACTTGATGGTCCATTGCAAGACCATTATTTGATTGGAACAACGCCGAGTTAATTCTTGAGTTATTCAACTTATCATCATAAATAGATCGTTGAGTAGCTTCTTCCTTCTTAGCCATATAAGCAGCAACTTCAGCAGCAGCTATGGCTTTCATGGCTGATTCAGCCGCTGCCTCAGCAGCAGACTTAGAGTCTTCAAATTGAACATTACCGTCCTGGGCAGCACCGCCTGTTGACCTGATGGATTACCAGAAAAAGAAAAGGAAAGTAAATAACTACAAAATGTAAATATTTCATAGGCACAAAATCATTTTCCCTACTTTTTTTGGTCACGAGGCACACAGTATCATCAAATGCATAAATTTATGTTACTAATTAGCACCTAAGTGAAAGGGGTACCAAAGTCTCCATCAATTAGCCCCTCGTGGAAAGACCTCTTAGCGGTCAAAAGCCTACATGGGTAGCCCTCTCTAGAAACATTAACAACATAGCTCTAACACTAATTGATAGGCACACCCAAGTGGGATGAGGAATCCTTCCTCAAAAACTAGCGGTTGAGATGGGAAGACCAACTCACTTAAATACTCAATTGTGCATCTCATTCTAACGAGCCTCTATCAGTTGGCTCCTCACCCAAATGCATGTTAACAGTCAGAAGCTTCCATGGGTAGCCTTCTCTGAAAACATCAAAACATGGTTCTAATAACAATTGATGGGCATCTAAGTGGGAAAACCAAGCTACTTAAATAACCTTTTGAGCATCTCATTCTACCAAGTCTCCATCAATTGGCCTCTCATTGAAAGGCCTCTTGCTAGTTAGAAGCCTCCACGGGTAGCCCTCGCTAAAAACATCAACATGGCTCTAATATAAATTGATGGGTATCCAAGTGTGATGAAAAACCCTTCCTCAAAAACGAGTTGTTCGGTTAGGAGAACCAACCTACTTAAATGCCCATTGAGCATCTCATTATACCAGGTCTCCATCAATTGACCCCTCATAAAAAGGCCTCTTGCCGATGCGTCGATGGGTAACCTATGTGGGATAAGAAATCCTTCTCCAAAAATTAGATGTTAAGTTGGAAAAAATAACCCACCTCAATTCTCTAATTTTCCCTTCATGAAAAGGCGTCTTACTGGTCAGAAGCCTAATACTCTCTCCAGCAATGTCAACATGACTCTAATTGATGGATACCTACGTGATGAGGAACCTTTCCCAAAAACTAGATGTTGAGGTGAGAGAACCAACCCACTTAAATGTCCCAAGTCAATCGGCCCTTCATGAAAAGGCCTCTTGCTCAGCCTCCATGGGTAATCCTCTCTAGAGAAGTCAACATGAATTTAATACTAATTGATGGGCTTTTCATCAATTAGCCCTCTAGAAATGTCAACAACATGGCTTTAATACCAATTTATAGGGAATCTAAGTGGAATAAGGAACCCTTCCCCAAAAACTAGTTGGCAGGCAGGAGAACCAATCCACTTAAATGCCCCACTGAGGGTCCCATTCTACTCAATGTGGGACTTTGTATCCCGTATCCCATTCTACTTAGTGTGGGGCATAATATCTCATACTACCAAGTCTCAATTAATTACTTTGAAGTATGCTTGTTAGTTTTCATAAATCTAACTGGAATGAGGAACTCTTCCCTAAAAACTACTCCCTCCGTTCCTTATTATAAGAGACATTTGATGCTTATGGCATGTTCCTATATATAAGAGACACTTAAAAGTTGTCTCTATTTTTTTGTGTTGATTTCCTATTTTACCCATATTTATTGTCTCCAACTCACACTCTCTCTCCCTCATACTTCTCTTTCTTTTAATAATTTAATTATTCTCTCTCATGTTCTCTCTCCTTATTAATGAGGGTAGTTTTGAAAAAAAAATTATACTTTTTACACATTGATTGTCCTTAACTAATTTTAACTGTTTTTT